CACAGTAAATATTTTAATGTAAAAGCTAGAGATAGGATATCACTTTTAAAGTCTAACAAAACTTGGATATTTTTCTTTGATAATAACATCTCATTTTTCTTTAATTGAAACTCTCATTCATATTGAGGATCACTGTTTTTAATTGTAAACAACAGCATTATGATACTTACAAAATAACATTTCAAAGAAGTGCCATGCAACTAAGTCATGCACATTTACTGACATTAGTATATATTTATATTTTTCTAAACATACAAAGATCAACGAATGATCAATTAAAACATTATTTTGACTTTATCTGGCAAGATTAAGGTCTTCAATTTTCTGGAATGCAATATGTTGCAAAATTGAAATGTTTGGAAGACCTGCTTACCTTCATTTGATAAATCTGTAATGCTACAATTTGAAACATGTTTTCAAAATTAAAACGTGAGTATATGTATTATTTTTGTAAATTAACAAATATTTCTTTTTGGCCATAGATTGTTAAAGTCAAAATCAAATGTTACTCTCTTAAATGATTACACTGACAGCTTTTGGACCAATCAAGGTTAAGCTCCACAGGATAGCTTATTAGAAACAATGCATGTTCATACTACAATATCATCTACAAAATGTCTGCTAAGACTTGCAATACTCCACAAGACCACTTGTGCTACTTATCAATCTACTACTCATAATGACAAAGTACCAGAGGTGTATACTTGTACTTGTAAACAAGACAGATATTGTATTCTGCTTCTCTGTCTCTCAGCACTTGTATCATGTCATGACAAAACTGTGAGTTCTGCATGTACAGCTGTACCTGCACCATGCCACTCTGAAGTCACTAAAGACAAACCTATCCAATAAAGCTATTACCAACATGCTGATATTTAGATGTTCATGTGTCACTCTGTTATCTTCAAAAAAATACTTATATGTATCAACTGGTCTGATGAGTTTTGCAACTTAAGTAAACATTTATCATTATAGCAACTGGTCTGTGTATTTCTGCCAGGAGTCAACCCAAAGGCTTAGCATAGTTCTTCAACTTTAACAGGGCATTTCCTAAAGGTGGAGAAAGTACAATATTAGTGAAATGTGTGCATTTTGAAAGCTATAATGAACATTGCCTTGTATAAGTTAAAGGGGTGAAAGCAATTCCCAGTGTGTTTATCAACAGCTTTGATATATGTTATCAGAATTCTTAACTCTCTGAAATTTTTCATTTTACATCTTGTGATGATTTTTTACACAATGATTACAGTACAACATGAAACCAAACCTCCTTCAGAACCAGAACTACGATGTAGTTATGATGTTGGAAACAGCTCTACAAAAGAAATTATGTGCAAATAACAACTAAATTGACCATAGGTCTATTTAAAAAAGTTTAAAAAAATGCAGGCAACTTCATTTAGGGCCATTATCAAATTTTAAGACATAAAAGTCTTTATCATAACAATAAAATGTCTATTAAGAGATAACTTCAGATTTAACATATAAAAAGCATTAAGTTTTCTCAATTTAAAAAGTCCAGATGAAAGTCAGGTTGCTCAAGACAAGACAGCTGTTCAATTGATAATGTTTTATGTAGGTATGTATATTTGGATTAAAACAGTAAACAAGTATATTATTACAATAGCGACACAGGTCTTAATAAAAGTCAAGGCTTATATCAAAGTATGTAAATCAAACAAAAATATGACAGTGTTAAGCAATAGCAAAAAAGTAGGTCACTGTGACTGATTTCCTGACAAAGCAAAGATACAAAGTAGGTCAATGTAACTGATTTCCTGACAAAGCATGGATACAAAGTAGGTCACTGTAACTGATTTCCTGACAAAACAACAATAAAAAGGTAACTGTAACCAGTTAATTATCTGATAAATCATATTAAAAAGTAGGTTACTATAACCAATTTTCGAACAAAGCATGGACACAAAGCAGGCCACTGTAACCAATTAACTGACAAAAGAAGGACACAAAGTTTGTCATCATGTCATTACAAAGATTTATACAATATGTCAATTTGGCGCCACTTTGATATTTCAGTTGAACTTAACAAATTCCCTATGCTATGATGGTGAGCACACCTTCTGGATGGTCAAGTTCTATGATCACACCTATATAATGATATAAATGAAATCTGGACAAGTTTTACATATTAACATTACTTAAGATTCATACCCAACACAACTATCATTTAAGGCCTCAGAGAATTTAAATATCATTACTTTTAGAGATACCAATTTGTAATACGTGTAAATCCTTTCCCATTTAATAGATATAATTTACTCCTAAAGAGCATTAGATACTGATATACAAATATCAGTTGATTTTAAAGATTAAAATGTGATCAGTCTAACCCATACTTCAATTATCATCTTCAATTATCAATGATATATCTATATAGCACATATCTTTATGAATGAGACAAGTAAACTAGTCCATCACATTGATGGATTATATATTACCCAATACAATTTTTTTTTGTATATACAATAAACAGCATTTACACAGCAGCCATCATGATTCCACAAAGGCATTTATACAATTTTTATCATACAATTCCTGAAAAATATTTACAAAAATAGTATTTGGTCCTATTTTGAATCCAGAGAAAATACAATGCATTTATTTATGTGATGGTGACATTCATTCAACCAAACAAATTACTCTCACACCTATACAACCAGTGGATACATACATATTCTTAAATTGGACAAAAATAGGTTTGAATTTACACTTCTTTAATCCTATCTTACATGTCAGGCTGTAAAAAGACCAGCCAGTAACTAATGTGTCATGTATATAAGATTCCTATGTCATGTATATAACAATGAACTAGTTGTAATAAGTACCATATATTGCACCCCAAGATAAATAGATTAAATAATAGTTTTATACTGAGGACTCCTTGAACAAAATCTACTGATGGATCGTTTTTCAATTTTATTAAGACAGCACATAAATACAAATGCTCAGTCTTTTTTGAAGGATGTATTGCACATGTCATTCATATCTAAATCAAAAACAAACATCATCCTTAATAAAAATATAAAACAGTGACATGTAGATATATCGGTATTTAAGTCAAATCTGATACAAAACTAAACACAGGCTTAGCTCTTTCATAAAACCATGGCATTGCCTTTTTTCTCTAAAACATCACTTTAAAATGATCCATCAATATTGAGAACTATTTCTACAGATGTCTTACATAATCTACTATACTCAATACAATACTTAATTTGATTATTTTCAACAATGATGGCAATATCTCCCTGATCTATAAACAGTAAACAGTCTGTCCTACAATGTCCAGCATTGTTTGACCAAAGAACTCACAACAACATACAATACCACTTATTTTGGCCACAATTTAAAGATATTACCTGTTTTTCTGAATTATCTTATATTTTCTGAACCACAGAGGATGAAAAGCAGAGCTGTCAGGAATTCATTTCAGGCTAAAAACACCATATGTATATAACATTTTCAACATTTGAGGAAGTGCTAGCAAATAGCGTTTGCATCACCATTAGTTATAGCTCTAAAAAAACTCAGCAAATCTCTTTCCCGGCACTTGGTATACTTAACTATATCACAATATAGATTACTAACATTTCACACACATAAGCTTGTGATAAGTTGTGTACTCTGAAGTATTTTTCTGCAGTTGTTTCAAAGTCTAAATACACAGTCAATACTTGAGTCACAATTTGTACTTAACATAAATAGGAAATATAAGTTATGAAATTTAAGTAAAGGACAGTGCAACATGATTATATCCATAGAGATATGTACAGGTGCAACTTACAGGGAAAATGCTTCCACATTAACTTGACTTTTACAAATATTCATTCAATAGCCAATTATGTTATCTATATGCAGCTCTAATTTAATACAGCTGGTGATGGGTGGAGGGAGTAGCCCAAAATGTTTATAATATATTTGGCATGGATATGTGAATTTACATAAAAAATAAATAGCATATGAACTGAAAACTAATGCATTTCTGAAATAATAGAATAAAAATTTAAGATTTTCATTTATCATTATGTTTATCACATTCCGTAAGTGAGCATATTGAAAAAATACCGATAAAATGCCAACCCTCACCTCAATCAAGTCCCAAAAATTACCAACACCTATGATAAAGGAAGGTACTAGAATTAAATTAAATGTAAGAGACAGGAAAATGTCACCATTTTACAAGTTAAAAATAATTTACTGAAATATCATGATTTGATCAGTACATATCCTAACATACTGCATTTTTGTGAAAAGTGAATCATTTCTTAATCTAATCAGAACAACTCATACCCTTAGATTCCTCATCTAACCATCAAATTCTCAAAATCCCTCTGGGCTCTACAAAAACTAAACTAAACTAAAATTAGTCTACAACCAGTGAACTGGGTAAAGGTTTGAAGATTTCATTTCATATGTTGAAGTAGAGATAAATATATTTGTACAGTGTATATAAATAGTAAATAAACAGATTTGAAGTCAACTTTATTTTTCAGATGTTATTCAACTGACTAGGATTAAAAAAAAATAAAATGGATGCTATTCACTGAATAAAAATAATACTACAACTCAAGTACCTTTTGTTATACTAATTTGATAATGTCTACTTCTGACACTAGGTGATGATACCAGCCAGTGGCAGCATACTGAGGAATTTATCAGGATCTCAACTCAGTTCCTGTTTATTATAATTCTCTGTGATTTGTGTGATATGCCGTACTAAAGAAATTAATGCTACATGATACATTAGCTCCACTAAAAAGTATTGATAAACACAAATTTTTTTTTTAAAAGCTATGATTATTTTAAGTGTTATATAGCCTTATTAGATCCAAATTTCACAGGTACCTACACAAAATCCTGTGAAATTCTGACTTAACATACACAAAATTATGCCTAATCCTGATCAGTGATTTTAACCTGAAAGAAAGCATTCTCTCTCATTTAAAAGTGATTGTAAATGAACTGGTGCTTTTGGCAGCAATCATAACCAGCTTTAAGTTTCCACTACCATAACATCCAAATGTGTTGTTGAAAATCACTAACTGGTAGCTTAACTTTGTGTGCTGCTGTTGATTATCACAAACAATGTTATTAATGCCTAACTTCTGATTCCCTGTCAGGAGAAATACATAACAAATGAAAATGTATGCAAGACTACACACAAGTATAGCCCTCAGCACCAAATAATCAGTAGACAACGACTGTAGTGTTTGGACATGTCTGTCCGAAGCTGTAATGCTATGCATCAGAACTGAACTCTGTCCCCATGTATCTTTCGGGAGCTATTCCAGTTCACCTTTCTCAGATTGTAGAAAGATTTCAGTAACAGATTAAATTTCAATTTTCACGTCTTGGTTTCTTCTTCTTGCCTTTAGGTTTAGCTTCAGTCCAAGATTCTGAAATTTAGTATAAATATGTCACAAAAAAAAATGTAAAAAGTTAGATACTAAAACATTAAAGAACAAGAAACATGAGTGTGTATCAGAGAAATGTACCTAATCTTTCCATCATTGAACACATTATCTACAATTTATATTTAGACAATGATGTAAAGCAACAAAAAACGATAAGTTGCCATCAATGATTTTACATCTGAAATACATAGATTCGACACAGCCTTTTATAAGGACTTGTGAGGTCATCTAGAATAATACAACTGTAGAATCTGTTACCTGCATATGTTAAAGAAGGGTTGAGTGCTAATAATTCGTAGCAAAATCTCATTCAAAGCTGGACTTCATTTTGAGTAAGACAGAAATGAATTAATCGCGAAACATATATGTATAGGTAACAGATTCTATTTCTCAGACATAATTTTTGTCAAAATTGCATGAAACTTTCTCAAATACATAGATTCCTTTCAAAATGTTGGATCAGTAAGATTATCTGCATTTTCAGTTATATGTCATGATGACGTCATTTTAATTATGAAGTTGCTTGGCACCAAGTATCATGTAAGTTGTCTAACAAATTGAACTGAAAACAGAAAAATCTTTCATTGGGTAGCACAGGAGATTTGCCATCTACAAGAGTACATAAACCAAATCTGGAGGTGCATTCTCATGAACAAGCGATCACAGACAGATCTTGACACCCAACATCATATGATTTTTATTTGTTCCTTATCATTAGGATCTTTTCTCCTTTTTGAGGAATTTTCATATGCAATTACAATTATGAAATCTGACCAAGTTCCATCCAGTATTTCTCAAGAAATAGCAATAACAGACTTCAACTTGGGAAATCAAATATGGAATATTTATGGAATGGTTGACATTTTGAAACATTCTTTACAGAAAAGCCTGACATCTTCAGTTTGGAACAGACTAGCATCTAAAATTGTCCATGGAATAATCACACATCTTAATTATTTATGGAATCGTCGGCCATTTCCAGTGATTTATGGGAAAGTCTGACATCTTCAGTTAAAATCAATGGAAAAGACTGACATCTTGAATTGTTCATGGAATAATTGGGCATCTTAATTATCTATAGATTAGTCAGACACTATACTATCAGACTTGCAAAGCAGAAAAACACTAAGCATAGAGACAACATACCTGATGTTTGTCCCATTTCATCAAAAGCCAACACCTGAGGAGCTTCAGGTGAGGCCTCTACTCCTTCTCCAGGTGTGCCACTACTAGCAGCAGGTGTTTCTGGGGAAACAAAAAAACATCAATAACTAAACAATTAAAGGAGAATTTTGATATATGGTATACATATATATATATACATATATATTAAAAAACTTAATATGAAATATATGACCATATAATATTAGTAACAAGAAGATTACATGGACATTTTACAAGCACACATTCCTACATTGTCACAGAATTTAAAACCCAAACATAGAAACAAACACAGTAACATACCCAATCCTTCTCCCTCACACACACTTTAATACATTGTCATTCAACATCAATGCAGTCAATCACAATAGTAGTAGTTTAATTATGATGTCACAATATATCCATAGTGTCTCAATGTTTACCCGACAACTGTAACCATTTTGTGCTGCAAAACTGTCCTTCAATTCCACATTTTATGCTTACCACATAGGAAAGACCTCTGTTGAATACCTTAGGTATCTACCCAACAAGATACTGCTCGTTAAAATGATTGGGGTATTGGTTCTCCTGATTTTTAGTTTCTTTATCTTTCAGTGAGAAATTAAGGAGGGATCCGAGTTGCAAAGCTTACAACTATTGCCACAGGAGTTGATTTCATGGTCTGCTGGTTGGAATTTGGGGTTTTATGACTCATAAGTATGATAAAGAGGGCATTATTTCGTACATTATCCTTTCGTTGGGTTTCAAGAGATGATAGGTTTTGAGAAAGATAGAGTTGGGTGAGTTGCATTGTATTAGAATGTAGAAAATGTTACATATAAGTCCTACTTAAAACCTATAATATTTTATGATGTAAAAAGTCAACTGTAGGAAGGGAATTAGGGCCTGTGACAAACGGTTGTGATTTGTGTAACTTAGTGATAAAACCTTCTGTGATAAATGGATGTCAAATTCGATGTAACTTTCTGATGGGACTCCTGTGACAAAGGTTTATCAGACACAGTTTTAGCGATGCAACTATTGTGACTAAATTAGTGATGTGTTTACTGTGACAATTGATTGTGAGATTTGTGTAACTTAATTAGCAAAGAGACTTACCTGTAACAGGTGGTTTCGCAGCTTGTGTTACTGAATGAGATGTCTCCTTGACAACCATATCTGTTGTCTTCTGCAAAGCAACAGAAAACATCAAATCACTGTTTCATTTTCAGCTATGAAGAGATAATCAATAAGAATACAACAGGATTTAATGGTCACTTAAAAGGCAGTACAACTGTTTTTGTTGTTGGCAACAAGTAAATCGTCATGCTTACAAAGAAAGACAATTAATATCTAACTGCAAACACGAAATCCCAGAGGGATCTTGGTGCCCCTTATTATTTGACCTTTGTTTGATCTTTTCCCTTCTTTCTCTTCTCTGTGTTTGCTCTTAATAATAAGAAATTTGAACATTCCTTTGCCGAAATAGTGATGATAAGCTTTACCTGCCAAACCTAAAATGGTCAGGCCATTTCGTTTTTCTGATTAGTCCCAAACTCAAAAAGGTACGACTAGGGATGAAGGGAAACAAACACATGAAATTTGGGAAAGATCTATGCTGTAGTTCTCAAGAAATAGCGATAACTAAAGTTGTCTACGGATGACAAACGACAAACATAGGGCGATTTAAATAACCAAACATTAATGAGATGGTGGGCTAAAAAAGTAATTTGTAACAGACTAACAAAACACATGACAGATAACAGGTGATCATGACAAAGTAAAGGATAAAACTGGTAAAGAAACAAACACAACCAACCTCATTCTTTTTCTTGTTTTTCGGACTTTTTACTGGCTTATTGTCCCCACTGGAGGAATCTTTGGCTCCACTATCATTGCTTGCTCCAGGTGACTTGGGCTTGGCAGCTTCTGGTGCTTGTTTGACATCTTTGGTTTTAGGCTTCCCTTGGTCTGGAGACGAGGACTTTGATTTGTTATTCTCTGCCGCTTTGGGTTTGGCATCTTCTGTTGAAGGTTTGTCAGGAGATGGGGATTTAGCTTTACCTTTCTTTGGTGCAGGAGTGCTTGGTTTTACTGCAGATTCTATCTGGTCCTTAGCAGCCTCTACAGCTGCTGCTTTCTTGCCCTTGTTTTTCTTGCTTGGACTTTCAAATGGGGCTTCTGCTTTCTGAAACACAAAGCATTCATTTGTTAACCCTTTTAACTCTGCCACTTTTTTCATATATGCTAAAAACATACAAAGATTATTGGTTGCAGTGTATTTAGCTTTGAACACTGGCAAGTATAATCATATTTACCAAGATGATAAATATACAAACATCTTCAATTAGAGCAACCATTTACCCAACATTCTTCTCTGCATGACTTCCTTGGGGACAATTTTATCGAATAATTACTTAAGTCGGCCATTTATTGAAAATACATAACTCCTAATAAAAATTTATAATTAGACAATCAGAAAACCGTCAGTGATACCAAATGTGATCCGTTGGATTTCTTTTGATAACTGGTGATAATTCAATAGTCAAAAAACTCCCCTATTCCTTTAATATGTATATCGTTATCAACTTATCAATTAGTTTTTCCATATTGCAAAATTACAACATTATATCTATAACAAATTACATATCTGTGTATCAGCATACTGTAAATATACTTATTTCAAATTTTAGAGCATAATCAAAAACAGATTAGCACAATGATAAATTAGCTTGCCTATAGCAATAAAAGTAGAAAAAGTATAGCAAAACTGTGATAAATGCAATCATAACTAAGAGGTATGTGCTCATTACAAATAATGCTTAAATAAGATTACAACTAAAATAGAGCTGTTTACTGTATAAAGATTGGTTTGGTTTGTAAATAAAATTTAAAATTAGCTTGTTTGAGGACAAAATGTAATCACTTGTTGATTTTTCATAAATTCCTAAAAAAAAAATAAGATAGCTTGAAATGTTTCTTGTTTTGTTTGTATGGGAAATAAGGCCAAGAAATAACTAAGAAGTTACTATTTCACAAGCTGCAATTTATATTGTTGTGTTGGAAATTACACTATATCAGCAAGACTTACCTCCCCTGTACTGATGGCAGATTCAGCACTGGTGGTTTGTTTCTCTGGGGTCTTCGTTACTGGCACTGGGGCCACACTCTCTACCTCAGTAGCCTTGGTAACTGGCTCTGGGACCTTGGTGACTGCCTTTGCTTCCTCTTTTGACTCAACAGGTTCCTGTGAAAATATGCATGAATCAGAATACAGAGCAACTTTTAAGTATGATCTATCTCCCCACACACTTAACACATAAGGAGTTTGAAATCTGGATGGGAAGATTATTAGTACAGAATACTTTAAGCACAGAAGATTTTTATTATTTTTACAAATAACTACACAGATTATATAAGACTTTTTGTGTTATGAACGGCCCATCTTCCCTAAATACTCCTGCATATTTAACATAGAATCAAAGTACTGAAAGTACTGGTATGCTAAGACCATTAAAAAATAAATTCTTTGTTATTAGCTTGCTATATACTGAAACCAACTATATGCAATCAATAAATCATTGCAGCCAATAAAAAATGACCAGCAGATATCAGAAATAACAAGCATAGTAGTATTACTTATGTAATACATGTCCCAAGTAGGCTCCAAGATGCAATGATAGGGAAGTTGTCCATTTCTTTGGATACATTGTAGGGAATGTTGATCATGGACACCATATTATCACTTTAAAGACTGTGTATCCTATTGGTTTAAGACCATTAGTTAGACCATCATGCAAATAACATGCTACATACAAATATTGGACAGCTTCATTTTCCAGATTGTTTGTAAATGACTGCATAAGAGTACCAATTTTCTAAAACAAACATGATATGTCACCATAACTTAAAATAGAAGATGCCTATTCTTCCAGAAAACCTGGTCTTATTCTCCTTGTACTTTTTCTGGGAATCTTCAAGTAGATATTGACTTTGTTCCAATTTTTCATGTTTATATATTCTTTGTTCTCTAAAACTTGTCACAAGATATTTTATTCCTCTTGTATTATCATTTTTTTAACATCCTTACAGTGACCTTGAACCTTGAAATTTACAAGATGTGAATATCTTTTAGGTTGTGAAATTTGATAGAAAAACGAGGGTAATACAATGGAAAAACACCCCCATGCAACTATCCGTTTTTTGACTGTGACCTTGATCTTTGATATCTGACCCTGAATTTCTAAAGAAACCGACTTCTCCTCACAAGGGATACATGTTCCAAATTTGATTAAGGTATACTAACTGTCTTGGCCTCAATGCGTTTACAAGGTAATCATATAGTACTTATGCAAGTACTGTGACCTCTACATTCAATCCTCAAAATCATTACTATATCCTCGCCACATTGCCCAGGGATAACTGAAACTGTAATCCAAATGATAACTAATACCCCCAACACCCACAGCCTTAGTTATCTCCCCATGGTGACCTTATGCAAAAAAACATCCTCTGAAACACAGCGGCATGTGCACATGTTCCCTAATATTCCTGCGAAGTTTTGTTGAAATTGGTCCACAGGTTTAGAAGTTGACCGACATGCAAAACCTGTCTATATTGACCAGATGCCATGGCAATCAATATTTCCAGGGGAAAATGGTGCATGCACATCTACACATTGTCCCGAATATTACTGTAGTTTCATTGGAGTTGTCTAGACAAGATGTGTCTACAGACAGACAAACAGATGGATGGACAGATAGACAACTTGATTCGATTTACCCACCCTTTTGGTGGTATAAGAATGCACAAGAGTGCTTACAAATTCCATGTGGACAGACATCATGGAAAAATAATAATGATAATAATGAAAATAAAAACATGATAAAGATGCTTATATCTTGTTTTCTTTATTCAGTATTCTTTCCATGCTTTGATTAGCAATGTAATCTTGTCATGTCAATATCCTAGTACAAGATTGCATACACAAAATTGTTGTAGGTAGACTTTTAAGATAAATAAAAAAAATACATGTCCAAGTTTAAATGAAGGTTTTAAACAGAAGTCGTATTATGTTCAGTATACAGTGATTTTTCTAGACAATTGTAAACTATAAACTCGGTATACAGCGATCTTTTCTACACATTTGTAAACAACAAACTCAGTATGCGGTGATCTTTTCTACAAAAAGTTTTTTTTATATATTGTATATACATAACTCAGAAAAAAAAATAAGTAAACCTTTCTATGTACACTACAAACTCAGTATACAGTGAGCCTTTCTACATAAACTTGGTATAACTAGTGAATCTTTCTACTTAAGTGAATTGAAGATTGTAAAGAAATTTACTACAAATGCAGCATACAATGATCTTTTCCACATTTTTTTAGTTTCTGCCATTTGTTGATTCTTCTTTTGTGATGGTAATTATATTGCCGCCTTTAGAGAGTACTGTGACCTTAAAAGGCAACATGGTTGTTAGCATATCCTCAAGTGATTAACCATCTTCAACATCTAATTGGAGGTCGGAAAGAAGGACGTTTTTCTCCACCATAAGGTCCTCAAATCCATTGTTGGTCACAATGGCCAATTCCAAGTTAGAAGAATCAAGAGATACCTTCTACCATTCCAGATTTCATTTCTTCAGGGACATCCACCTGCTGAAAGAGAGTAAGGGAAATAAATAACTATATTTCTTTATTGCTATGATTATGTGCAAGAAATATACACTTCTGTATAAGCTTATAGTCTTGAACTTCCCAATAGGAGTCTATATTAAATATAATTAATTGTTTTGACATTCAGGACTGTCAAATTATGAAGTGATGGACAGCTAGAAAATAAGAATATCTTGACCATGGTCATACAGAGATTGAATCATAAAGTTAAATTCATGAGATAAATCTGTGCAGTATGATAATTTATTTTGACATTTGTATTTCAAAAATCATTATGACTTGAAAGGTAATGTGTAATTTAATTAATTACATTGGACCGTCATGCAATGGCAATGCCATTTTCATAATGTAATTGTAATTTCATTAATTACATCATCATGTAATTGAACCCATGCCTATTACAAACAGTAGCTGTCCTAACTGATCCTAAAATTAAATTTGGCTATGTCTATCACAAAATTAATGTTGGCTGTCTATTACAAATGCCATATTTAGCTACAGCAGAGGTATTTCAAAAATGTATGTCATTGTAACTGAAAGGACACAATTAATGGTTACTTAACCAGAACTACAGTTCTGAACAAACCACTACAAAGCCTGGTTAACTGTACTAAGAAAATGTCTTCTCAATTAATCAATTTCATTGATTATTGACATCTTATTGTTGTACTTACAGTCACTTGAGTTTCTTAAAAGTTGCAATTTGACTTTTAATAAGGCCCAAAATGATAATACTGCAATGTCTTAATTAGCTCTCGAGGGGTATTGGTTACACTGTTTATCTCATTTCATTCCATTCACCATGAAAATAAAACTCTAAAAAACAGTCGACAATTAATGACAAATATTGAGCCTAGGGCTGGGTAAAATTGATGAATCAAAAGTGTTGAACTGAAAGTGGACGCAGTTGACATAATACTGAAATTTCTGAGATGAACAAATACAGTACATATATCAAAATGTTCAATTGTACCAATAATACTTTACACATTCACACTGGGACTTTACACATTCACACTGGAACTTTACACATTCACACTGGGACCTAACACTTTGCTAGGTTTATCCTAATCTTTATTAAAATACTTTCCGGGAATCAGATGTTAATTGACATCTTCATTATTCCTAATCTTCATATTGTAATCGTTCACATGCATCACTCTTCAACAGAATCAACGAGACATCATGTCAGAAAGACAAAAACTAAAATTAAGCTAAAACTATATATATTAACTTCACATGTAAACCTGAAAATTAGCATAGCTGTAGAGTTCCCGTACGATTTCAAACTCTGGTCTTGGGCCGTTGGGGTACTTATAAATTATCTCCGATCAGAAATTTGAAAGAGCTAGACCTACAATAGCGCGGACAGTGACAGATATTTTAAAGTAAAATCGATATATTACCCAGACAGATTCCTAGATCTATTCACGGTAGCGTAAGTAGTACAGTACAATATTACGGATAAGTTTTTTTTCTGGTTAATTTCCGATCTGTTGGGCCACTGACAGAAGTGACTGCGATGAGACCATTATGAAACGATCATTCCAAAATAAATCCATTTCAAAATACTGAAATACTTTACGGAAGCAACAAAAATGTGCTAGATGCTTACATAACATTTTTCAAATGCATACTGCTTCAAGGGAAAAGTCTTGAAAATATTT